CTCATCCTGTCCACTAGTAAAAACAAATACAAATTTGTCTTGTATCTGTCCATTCCATTCTTTGAAACGTCTCTTTCTTATATCCACCCATGCAAACTCGGACTTTGCTTTCCCTCCCTCTCCTCAACCAACTAGTAAAAAGAAGAAGAATGCTGAAACGGCTACATTTATGTGCATTTTCATTTCATTGTCAAAGTTATGAACACGTGGATGTATTTTACAGGTGCTTTTCTCGCTGCTTTACGTTCAAACTTTTCAGACATTCGAAGACTTCTTTTGTGAGTTGTCACGAGGATACAATGTACGTGTAGAACAGCCATTTCAGAAATTCTTAGAGCTAAAGCTAGTTAGCATAACTTTGTTGTGCCATTTTGCGGAAAATTCTATTCCTGAGCTCCAACTTTTTGCTTTGAAGATTTTTCAACAGTAATTAGATATTAGTTCTTCTTAAGATTGTCTTTAATTCAATTATCATAGTTCACGCAAGTGTGATTTTTTCTTTTCCACCTCCCTTTCTTATTTCATTGCAGTTAAGAAAAATAATGTACAATAGGGGTGAACATTTCTGCCTTGTCCCCCGAAATTGTTAAAGGTTCTTCCACTTAATGCATTTTGAGCAATTCTTTTCTTAGAATTTGTATTTGCTGTCCTGGCAAAGGATGGAAATTGAACTATATGTACAAGCAGGCCGCCACAAATATATGCCTATGTTTCTCCAAGGGGGTACAGATTCTGCATTTTTTCTCCCATCCTAGTTATTTTGTGCTATGGATGTTTTTTTTGATGCAATCGCGGCTGCATTGTTTGTAATTTTCTTAATCTCTAACAACATAAGGTGGTTTGATAAAGAATTTTATGACATGAAAATCTGATGGTTTAGACCATTAGTATGACATGTATTAGACCATTAGTATGACATGTAACGAGATAATCATAATCATGTATGTCCAGAAAGATGGTTGTGAGACAGATCAAGAAGTTCAATTATCTCAGGTGCTGGAGCTTTGGACGGATAGACCCAATTGTTGCTTGAGAGATTTAACCAATCAGACCGTCAAGGCTTGCAACTTCTGCAGGCATTTCTCTAGATAAGTAATTGATCGAAAATCAATCATTTGGACGAATCCGAGAGTATTTCTTTATTCCGACACTGCTCCTTTCCATATCAAGAATGCACTGGCAGCACAGAAAAGGGGAAGTCTTGACTATCAAATCGCCCGTTTCATATCTGGATTCTGGACTGCCATCATCATACATGACCATCACAGTAGCGCTAAATATGTTTCAAAACCTTCAGCTAGAAGCTAAACACCTGCATGTCTCCAAGACCCAACTCAGCTAATAAAGACGTTGGCCAGGAGACTGAAATGTTCGACTCTCAAGCCATCCCCTTTCTCCCTTCCTGTTATAAGGCTTGCAGTCTCCCAAAAAAATAAAAATAAAAAATAAACACCTATACTATTGTCGGCATGCCAGCATATTGATATGAGACGGTTTTGAAATTTAATACACCCCAAATTGAAAAGAAAAAAGAGAGTGTCCTTAATTCTAGAAACTTATTCATAAAATGGACTCCAAATGATGCTACCATAATGTAAAACGCGACAAATATAAAACAAAATTGATAGAAACACATCATGAGTTGATTTCGTAGGTTTTATTAGTGATACTCGGTAAGGACCCCTTATTACTTGTCCTAGGGGCACGTTTCAATAGGTAACTGGTAAATACAGAAAAATGCCGTCACAAGGAAAATGAATGGCGAGAAAAACCTTATCGCAGTTAGTGGAGTCAAAGGATCTAAAGCACTATCAACTCATTCAGTTGCTACATCTTTGATAGCCAAAGGCTCGTACCATTGAGAACCGAATCCAGCAGCTCTTCTCGCCGTCTCATTAAAAGGAGGCTTTAATGGGCCCCTAAAGTATCTCCTGACAGTTGCATGAAACATCCGAATTACTTCATCATCAGCTTCCACATCATTATCACTGTAGTTAACTTCATTTTTCTGCGGCATCAGCAATCCATCACTCACATCTGGATTTCTGGACCTCAAGCAAAGATACCTAAACCACTTAACTCCTGCAGCACAATGCGTAATCTCTTCAGGGTAAATGACTTTCTCCAGCAGGCCAGCAGTCTGATCATCTCTCCCATTGCGGAAGCGAGATATTGTCGTCGGGATCACATCCAGCCCTCGAGCCTGCAATTATTTCTACAGTTCATGAGGTTGATTTTAATAATAATAGAGAATAATTAAGAGGGGAAATGGCGTACATAATTCCATGCAGCCAAGTACATATTTTCAACAGTTCAGAGAGCTCTGTATGCTCTGCTGACTCATATTCCAAGAACTAAATGCCCATTGATCATTGTAACATTCTTCCATTGGCCAGCAACAAAAAAGACACTAACCTCATGAACGCAATGTTCAATAGCCAAACGTGCCAACAAATCATTAGAAGTAGCCATAGCAGAGTCCCAGAGACCATCATGGGCAGGTAAAGCTCCATAAAATGATCCTAGTTCTTCAAGCCGCACAGAAAGCAGGGTGAAATGCCGACCTTCATCTTGTGCCACCTTCACGAAGTCAGTGAAAAAATCTCTGGGCATGCACTCTTGCTTGCCGAAACGAGCAATTATATCCTATAACAAAAGTACAATGTTAATATATCAAAGGGAAAGTAGTTAAAAGAGAACTGGAAATAAAATTGTTTAGAAATGCGTATCCCATGACTAAATAGAGACCACACAAAACCAATAACCAGATAAAATTAGAATTAAAAGTATGAACCAAATTGGTCTGACTTTTGACGCTATTAACAGCAGTAGTATTAACATGTAAATGATAAAACTGCAAAGGGATAAAAATGATAAATAACTACAAGAAAAGAAAAGAAAAGCAAATATTACCCAAGATAAGTCAACGGCCCAGCTCTCAGTGTGGACAAGACTGTGTACAATGGCTTGTCTACTCTGCAAGCTTCCAGCTTTGCCCAGTTTCGGCATCATGCTAGGTGACACTAGTTTCACCTGCACAATGTCTTTAATCAGTTAGCACCTTCAACACCTTCACTTGTGATCTCAAATTCATTGAGGCATTTCGTCGAACAGTTGAAAGAAATGGAACGATATTGAAGTAAACAAGATCATATTTCATAACAGTCAGAAAATCACTAACGTTGCTAAGCCTAGCAGGGCGATCCGGTACAATGACGTCTTGGGATGGGTCGTAGGCCTGAGTGATGAGACCCTGTAGCCATTTATTAGCTACTTCGTCACCCAGCCGGGCCTTTTCAACTGGGTCAGCCGTGTTGAGCACTCGTAGTGCCGCTTCCACCAGGGTCTCTGAGATGCTCATCTCTTTCCCTCCCTCTCTATCTATGTGAAAGTTCTAAAGAAATCAACTGGCCGTCAGGATATCCTTTACATTACATTGAGAGCAAGAGAGAGCGTGTTCTTGATACGAAAAGCTCCCCTGTACGTGTGTATCATCAATGAACCGAAACTTCAAAGAGCAAATTATTCAGGTATCCAGTAAACTTTTTGAATAGTTGAATTTTGGCTACTCAGTAATATGTTTGTACTACGTGTGTATACCCTTTCAACAGTAATATGTCTTTTTTGGCTACAGTAATACGTGTGTATACATCGATTTTCCTATACATATAGCAACATAATGTGATCGTGTACAAAATAATGTCACAAGTAAAATACTGTGCAGAACTAGACAGAATTACAACTACATTGGCCTTGCCTATTCCAAACTTAGCATGAACTGCATGTAGGGTTTGGAATGAGTAGTGTAGGACTTTGACAATATGCACCACTTATCTTAGGAAATTGCAGTCATTGTCCACTGTTAATAACCAATCAAATTAGAAGCTAATGCTATAGTGAGTATTAAGTAGCTAGTATTAACTATTAACTAGCAACATTGGTTTGGTTCGGGCAAAAGCCAAAACCATAAGTTAGGGTTTGCGTTTGTCTTTGGCATGTTTTGCTATTGCGGTGAGGATATAGGACCACTAAGATATGAACTAGAGGCATTACAATTCTAAGCACCTTTGTAGGAATGGCAATGGGGCGAGGATCGCTGCCCACTAATTCCCCCGCCCTCCTCCTCGTCCCCGCTCCACCTTGTTTCCTCCGTGAGGTCAATGAAAATTTGTCCTATAATTTTATTTTAGTCAAATTTTAGTAAAGAATCAAGTACTTTTTTTTTAAGTAAAGAATCAAGTACTTAAGTATTAATATATCATCAAGTCATTATTCATTTTAATTTTACAATTGAAACTCATAAAAATAATTAAACAAAAGTTATTTGAATACAATCCAATATGATAAGATAAATACAACTAAAGTAGTCAAATTTTCATTTTTGAAACAAATACAATCACAAAGTCATTATTGTATTTTTTTTAAGAAAAAAGTGTTATTGTGTTAAGTGTAATTAGAAATTTAATATAAATATATTAGTAAATTTAATATAACTAATTAACAATTTCTATTAGTAGACATGTATAATTATTAATATAATTGATAGTATCAATTATATTACATGTACTAATATATATTATATAATACTTATAATTAATAATATCATTATTAGAAAGTTGTAACTAATTAAATTAAATATTTTATATATTTATTTAATTTTTTATCGGGTGACTGGACGAGAATATACTCCCTCACCTCGTTTTTTTAATTGGGGGAAAATATTTTCCCGGTCCCATTGGCCCCTCGCGGGCATCCGTCTTAATTGTCGTTCTGCACCATTGCAAGAATGCAAGTTAAAAGTTAAAACAAACAAATACAATAAGCTCTCCTAAAACCTTTTCTTTTTTTTTTTAAAAAAAAAATTCAACTCAAAATCCCTTTAGACGAAGAAAGCGTGCCGTTTTATTTGTCTCAGAATCCCGACTTCGATGTGGACATCTACATAACGCTTTCCCCCACGACTTCAGAAATTCTGAATAAAACGGTCTCTCCTCGTCTTGAGTCCCCGGAAGTCGTCCTCCTCCTCCGTTGCCTCTGCAATAGAATCGTTAAATTTAAAAACTAGGGCTTGGAAGAAATTTTTTTTTTTTACCTAAAATTAACAAGAAGATGCTGGCGGGTTCGTACCCGAGTCAAAGGATACTATCAGAGTCGACCCACCACAGACTCATCGAAGTCGTGAAAACAGCTCTCATCAAAATATTCGTGTCGCCATATGCAACTGTGTGTGAATTGTATTGTGGGAAAGTAGCGGATGAAGACAAGTGGGACGATGCTCAAATTGGTCACTACATCGGCATTGGTACTACTACCGCTGCTCTTGTCCAATTCTCTTTTCTTAACTTCAATGATTTTTTTCCCTTTGTTGGCTTTTCTAAAGTGTTCAATGTGCTTTTATATTGAAATGAATGTGGTTGATATTTAAAACTTCTTTGTTTACTCTTTTGCTGTTTGATTGATTAGATGTGGGCACGTCGGGCGTGGGAGAAGTAAGAGAAGCTTGGGAGAGTCAGCGCAAGTCTTACACTTCTGACTTCTTTGAGCTCGAGCCCTGCACTGTGAGCTCCTCCCCCTGCGTTCTACTACTACTGCATTTTTTTTTACCTTGTCTCTTTGAAGTTGGCTTCTGGGAATTTAATGATTTTTCTCGTTTAGCCTTAATCAGATATTGGATTTGATTTTTTTTTTTAAAGAAAAAGAAAGACTTCCTTTTTCCCCAGCATAAGTTCCTCCTTGGTTCGAAGTTTTGCGTAAGTTTTGGCAATGATGGTTTACATTTTTAAGGTTGGATGAGTATCAATTAGATTCATGTACCTTTCTTCCATCAATACTTTCACCAAGTGTTAAAAATTGATTAAAAGTAGCTTTGTTTGCTTGGGTTGATCTAGTTAATCCTTCCTTTCATCCTGCCCCAATTGTTTCCCTCCTAAAGTATATCCATGAATTTTATATGGACTTAAATTTGGATCCTTTTTGTTGCTTGCAAACTTTCTATGTAGTTAAGATACTTGGGTCGTGAATGCTTTTATGCAGGAAGATATAAGCTTGCATCTGCAGGACAAAGAGATTCAGGCTGATGTCATTTGCTGCTTGCACCATTTGCAGGTTTCGATTAAGATTCTACTTCTTAATGTCATCTTACCTGGCATATATTCTTTATTGACACTGGAGGAAAAACTTCTCCTACACAAAATTGAGACCTTGAAATAAAAGATGAAAAATAAGTATCTGGTGGAGTGAAGTTCCTATTATCTGTTGCAGCTTTGCTTTGAGACAGAGGACAAAGCGAAGAGACTGTTGCATAATGTTTCATCTTTGCTGAAACCAGGAGGTTATTTTTTCGGTATTACTCCTGACTCATCTACTATATGGTATGCGCAACAAGTTTGATAATTTCTTAGCCATCTTTGTAAATGTTATGTATATGTTTGGTCATGTCCTTGCTTTTGTGTAAGCTTTCCAAGATATCAAGTTCTTCGTCTTCATATATTAAGGGTTGTTATGCATTTGGCCCTTGTGTCAAAATTTTTCATTCTATTGTTCTTCAAGTGATGAACTCAGTTCCAATGGACTAATTCTCGCTTCTGGCTATATAGCTGCTGCTTGTTTCCAATTCATTTATTCTAAGTTGGTTTTTGGTAGTGGTTTATATTCAAGGTTTTGGTAAACTCATCCTTGTCATCCATTTCACATATGTAGTCTAATATCATAAAACTCTATACATTTTAGCATATTTGTTAGCTCTACAGTGTAACTAACCGTCTGTGCAGGGCAAAGTACCAGAAAAATGTAGAAGCATACCACAACAAGAGCAGTGGAATGAAGCCCAACATTGTCCCTAACTGTATCAGATCAGAAAGCTATATGATCACTTTTGAAGTCGAGGAAGAGAAGTAAACAAGAAATTAAATTTTTCTGCTTTATTGGATATTCTTGGAGTTTTTTATGAGTTGTTTGACAGTTCCTGCTACATGTTCAATTGATATCCAGGTTCCCATTCTTTGGAAAAAAGTACCAGTTGAAGTTTGCAAATGAAATTTCTGCTGAAACCCATTGCCTGGTTCATTTTCCAAGCTTGATTAGGTCAACTTTTATCTTGTCCACACTATCTGTTCTCCCCCTATCTACTAGCAAAAGCGTCAATATTTGTGTGGTGATCCCCTTGGTTAAACCGGATTTACAATTGTAGCCTGATGTCAGTTAATGTAAAACCTTAGTAGATGTGGACCTTGGGCATCTTGCCATGGGACTTGCAATTAGGTGGTCATACCTCTTCTTATAGGGACCGTTACTTCATTTACCGAATGATCTTCTAGATGACTGTCGTCTATGCATAGCATTACAGTTCTTTTTTGGGAAAACCATTTTTGAATACTTGTCTGCAGGTTGGCTAGAGAGGCTGGTCTTGAGTATGTGGAGATTCAAAACTTGACTGATTTTTATGATGATAACCGGTATGGATTTTCTCCTTTTTTAATCTTTAATCATTGTAGATTGTTCCTTTGGTTGGTTCAGTCTTTCCTGTCTGTTTACCATTTGAAATTGTATATTTCACTTACCACTGTTCCCAACATTTTGTATGTGGTTTCTGTTGCTAATTTTGAATTGAGACTTTTATTTAGGTTCTGTAATTGTAGGTTCCAAGCTTCATTGTCATATATTGTAATAACTTAGTTTTATTGTGGTAGGTATGTTTGAAAATTTATAGGAGATAGTTCTCTTCCTCCCCTTCTTCATTCCTACATTTCTTGTACTCCGTAAATGTAAAGTTTCATCTAAACCTGGTGACAAGTTACTACTAAACATCCAGAGATGTTTTATGCTTAGTGCTCTAAGTACGCGGCTTATTCTCCTAGTTCTACCTGTCATAATTTTTTTTTGTGTTTTTGATGTCACTCCTGTTATGCTTGTCTTCAGATGGCTGGCTAATGTGCTTGTCATTTAGTAATATAAGCTGAAAAGATGACTATTCAGCAAAATGACAAAATTTTGTTGGTATTTTGATGGATTATTAGGAGGAAATGGAATGGGATTTTTTTATAGGTGGTGCAACTCCTAAATTGTTGATCATATGCTTTTGTTCATTTGAGAAGATAAGGCTCCAGCAATTTGTTATGAATTTCTCTCTTACGTGTGTTTATTTATATCTCTAACTATTCTTCCCTGTCTCCCCTGCATTTCAAAGTGCCCAATTTGCAGGCATGCTGCAAGACTCAGGTCATAATTTTGTTGATCCCCGGGGAAGACTTCTTCCCAGATCATATGATGTTTTAGGTGATTTCTTCCTTTCATTTGTTTTCCAAAGAAATCAACTGCGTCCTTGCTTATCTATTTCCTTAAATTACTTCTGTGTAGAATGAAATTTAGGTCTTATTCTTCTGGTATCATCCTCCTGCAGGTCTATTCACCACTTTCATATTTCAAAAGCCTGATCCTGATATTGGTCCCCCTCTTATGACCCCTGTATTGGAAGATGGGAGTCACAATAATGATGAGGCAAGTCTTTATAATATTGGAAAGTGCCATTTAAGTGGGCCTCTGGATTTGGCTTCTATTATAGGGAGGGATCAACTTCACCAGTCACATTGACACAAAATCAAAGATCTATTTTCTAGATTCACATTCTATATTCTATGTGTTTCATCCTTACAATTACAAAAAATCAAGTATTTCTTGGTTGATTACAACAGTCTTAAAGACTTTTTCTACATTTTGATGAAAGCAATAAATTTTAATCCTAATGAGTTGCACTGTGTTTGAATTTAAAAAAGCACCTCTGTCTGTTGAATAGTGGAAACAGTTTATAAGAAATGCTTGAGGCATAACAAGAATTAAAATTGCTTCAAATTGATGTTGTGGGTTCACTACACGCTTGCAAAAAATAGAAAAGATCCAAAAAAAGGAATAAAACAAGCAGAAAATTCTCATCCAAAAATGAAAAGATGGAAATACAAAACTAAAGAGAGAGATTCTGTTGTTGATGCAAGAGACAAGCTATAGTTTGATAAATCATGGATTAGACTAGTTGCATTAATAAGTCAAGGTCTCTCTTATTTTCTGTTTCAACAAAGAGAAACAGTAGATGCGACTTGAACTTTCTAGTGCAACAACTGGCCAACATTTTTTTTTTGGGGCTGCTGCAGGGAGATTGGCTTGGAAATGGTTGGGGAGACGATGACAAGAGTGTGCAGACTGAAACCTCCCAGGGATTAGGCAAGATAACTGAGCAGAAAGGAATTCTAGGTCCTGGTCCAGCAGAGTTGCGCTTTGCTGAAGCCATTTGAGCCAATTTTAATTGGAAAAGGTGCAGGTATTACACTTTCAACACAAGTTTGTAGTTGGCTGTTAAGAACTGGTAAGAGGAAGTATGATGACTGAAAAACTTGCATTGATGTTTCACTTGGCCTATCCGGATCGTACAAAATGAGATGCTTTGCTGAGTTGTGCTGAGTGAAGTAGATTTGTGAAGGAGTGCAAGCAACTAATCACATATGAATTTAGTTGTACGATAGTCTTGTTTCTTCTCCGAATGTCTTATGTAATAGATGCAGAATGCTTGCTCATGGATGGCTCAAATATATTGCTGGTTTGAAGCTATGTACAAGCTTCATGACTAGATATTAGGTCATGATGGCTTGGACAATTTTAATCGTATAGCATTGCTGTAAGTTGCCCTGAAAACTAGTTTCTCTTTTTGACTTTATGGTATTGGCATAATTACTCCTCCGTGATTATGTCATTCCTTATGCTAAAAATGCGCCTCGTAATGCCGATTGGTCCCTCCAGCTCAGGGGGATATCGAAGAAATTACTACTAATCAAGTCTGAAGTGCCACTTTCTACTGATTTTGGCAATGATACCCAACACTGAGACTGTCATGGTGCATTACCCGGTTAATTCCCAGGCGGCTGGAGTTGAGGTGGAGGAATTGGCTCTGACCTTACCGTCATCAATGTCCAAGTCCAGCTCTTTTGGTTATTTAATTCCTAATTTGCCGCCTGAGTCCATCTTTCTTAGGCTAAAAGCTTATTGTGAATTTGTGATGTGGGATTCTGCAAGTTCTTCTGTTAGAGGCTATGGACACAAGAAATGCAGAGAGCTGCAATGATCCGTGAGAAAATACACATTGGGAGAATAATTTGAAGGAAGTAGAAGAAGAGGTTTTTGACGAAAAAGTGAGGAGGCAACTTGTAGTTGTACCTGTTTGACTTGAGGTCGATGATCGATATTGGTTGATTGACAGGTGGATTGAAATTGTCTTCAGATTGAAATGGTGAATCTTCTCAATTAAATGCTTGTACGTCTCAATTCTGAGATTGGCTGGTGCATGGGTTGACTACTTGTTCTTGTTAAATCTGATGGAGAATCATGCAAAGATCAATCATCTAGGCGCTAGTGTTTTTTCAAGAAAGATCGAGCATGTTGCTTGCTACTCATGATTAGGTTGGGTTGTGAATTATAACTAGTAATCGATACGCTTTTTTTTAATATCGTTTTCACTTTAAAATTTCAAGAATTTCCTTTCTTTTATAAAAGAAATTGTGTTTATCTATTACGTGGAAGTCATTAAAAGTGGTTCAAACAAAGTTGCTGCAGGGGGAATGGAACGCCGATATAACCGGTGAATTTTGGTTCAGTGGCTATTAAAAAGGGATTAAGGGTTTAAATTTCATTTGGAGCGAAAGAAATATATTAAAATCAGATAGAGATATAACTACTGAATTTTGGTTCAATGACTACCAAAAAGGACTAAGAGTTCAAATTTTACCTGCAGCAAAAAAAACACCGATATAACTACTGAACCAAAGTTCAATGACTGCCAAAAATAACTAGGGTTCCAACTTCACCTCCAACGAAAAAAAAAAAATTAAGATCAAATAGAGAACAAACCCACATTGAAACACCAATAGCACGCCCGGTGGGACTCGAACCCACAATCGCCTGATTAGAAGTCAGGCGCCTTATCCATTAGGCCACGAGCGCTTCTTTATTTCAATTGTTAATTACGGGCACTACATTTTTTTTTCACTTAACAAGACGACACAAAAAACCTATGAACTATTCTAAGAGATGGAATTGCCCTAGTATGCATTCACCGGTAATTGTCTCTATTTTGTTTATATAATTCGCTAATTTTTCATACTCCATGATTAGTATTAAATTTTTGTACTTCCAATAATGAAGCACTCTTTAATTAGTATTAAATTTTTGAAATTCCCTTTTTTCCCTAAATTTTCAACTGGTATTCGACTTCATTTCAAGCTTGCCATCATTTATAAACTAAGTGGTAGTTGTAAACTTCAGGAATTTTAGAAGAGCACTGTAAGGAAACATAGGAAATTTCAGAAATTTACGGAGGGGCAATTACAAGACAAGATTGAAAATTTATTCAAGCCATTTTTAAAAATTCTTCAAAGTTGAGGAAGGGGGGATTGGGGGGTATGTAGTATATGTCCACCCTCACTTGATTGTGGCTCCGCTAATCAGCTTTCGGTAAATCCTTTCAAAGATGCTAAATGGTAAAAGGAATATACTTCATAAGGAGACAGGATAGTAATAGGACTTGCTCCATCAAATAACAAAGCAACCATGTTTTCTTCCTTCCCTGCCACACGCGGAAGGCACTTCAATCTACAGGTGCCAGTCTTTAACTTTTTACTTATTGCATTCTACACAATGGGGAGTAGAAAGTTGTCAACAGGTTTTTCGGAAACCATAGTAAAATAATCCCTGAAGCTTCGTCAAAGCGGAAAACACAGATAATGGATGATGACATTTTAGGATTCAATCCTCAAGCTCAATGATCTTGACCACAGATGCATCACCCACTTTTTGGCAAACAACAACTCGATCATGCGGTTTTATGACACCACAGGCTTTCCCGTGATCCAATGCCACCTTCAAGACCGACTCGTTGGTCCCATTTGTAGACTCAGCCTGCAAAACCAGCCATTACGACTGTGGTTACAATGGTAAATCAGGAACATCATCTGAAGGGAGAATAACTACTGGTATTATTAGCTAGCATTTACTGCTCAAACATCAACCAAGCCCATAATCACTTTCCAGATTCAGTTATGATGCATGGGTGAAAAAATTGAAAGTGCATCATAACTTGGTCCAATAGGTGCGCATGGCAGTACACCACAAGAAAAATCGAACGAGTTTGGTTATAGTTGCACAACCATGGCACTCAAATCCGTAGAATTTTATTGAAAGTAGCATGCCAATCAAGTGCAGTAGGAGATCAGAATTAAAGCAAAGGTTATGATTAGATGTTCGGTAAAAGATATTTTCAATCAGAATAAATACCACAACAAAGAAAATATCTTACTGGATGTCGTGGATCTGCAAGAATAGGGAAAAGGCCTCTGACTATAAGAGATTGCCTCGCCTGAAAGTACACCAATCAGTAAGCAGGTTAAACAACCAATATCACTTTCCGATTACCAAATGATGGAGAATACTAGCATTGATTTGAACAATGGTTAAAATATATATATATTTATGTATGTATGTATGTATATCAGATTCCCAGAAGCTTCCAGGCAATGCACTCTTTCTGGTAAGTCTATATATACCAAGAGGGACACAAACTCTAGGCTGTTTGTATGGCATTTTAAAGTTGTATCAACTCTAAAATTCAACAAGCAGCCAAGGACGCTGATCTCCAAACAGCATGCAGTACCTCAAAAGCACCACTAAATGTCCAGCGGAGCTGATTCGTCTTGAGCCGAGGAATAACAACTGACAATACAGGCATTGTTGGCCTATATTTTGCAATCAATCTGCATAATTTTGAAAAGGAAGAGTTGAAATTATATAGGTAATTGCTTCTCTAATCGGTTAATACAGACTAGATATTAGCACTTTTCAGGACATCCAAATTGTAGTTGGAAATATTCAAATTTTGAGGATTCTCAACTGTTAAAGGTTGCATTCCAAACATTTTGCTCACAAACCACACACAAAAACAGAGACATGCGCACAGAGAGAGAGAGAGAGAGACCTTGCAGCTCTTCCAGATGAAGTGAAGCAAATGATAACTGATGCTTTTACCTTAATGGCAGCACGAACCTGCATAAACAGAAGTAACATTTAAAACTTGCATGCGTACAGGGTTCTCCAAGCCACAGTAAAGCTAAAAAGGATTTCAAGGAGATAGCCTATCCAAACTAAACTAGGCGGAGTAAATACAGCTAACCGATAATTTTAAGAGAAATACCGCAGAGGAAGCAATAGATTCCAAGTGGGTCATTGGTTCTCCAACATACTTGACAGTTTTCTTGAAATAGAGATCTTGATTGTAAGCTTTCTCAGCCTGCAGCAGCATATAAAGTAGATTTATCTGATTGTAAAGATGCTCTCTAAATTATGACAAATGATGCTAAAGTAAGCAATAAATTGAGCAATATGATATTTGGGAGAGGTGGCACTGCAATTGCACAAACCAATACAAGCACATAAAGAAGTTCATCCTCAAAGATAGGTTGATGCAGGGCTGATGACAGTCACTTAAAAAAACCCCGGCCTAGGCTGTCGCCATTACACCAAGGAATGATACACATCCTGTATGCTGCAATACTGCATACGGGACTTGTGACATGGATCCAAAATTTCCTCTAACTTTTCACATACCTATGGTGCAAGGGGAACAGCTTAGGACAGAGTTTTCCAATTGATAAGGCTTTGAAGGCTGCATGATACGCAAGTCTGATATCTTCCTATTGCAAAAAGACTTCTCATGAAACCCTACTTTCAAATCACAGGAGAATGTAGCTCATTCAAGAAAAGAACATAATCTCAGATAACCCTAGAAGCTATAAACTGCAGCTAGAGGAGTCTAGAAGATTCATAAGAGGCTTGCACTAGGTTTTATCAGCTAGAGGAGGGAGAAAGCACAGATGTTGCAGAACAGATAGGTAGCCGAACCAACAAGTTTCTAGGTCAGTAACATAGTGGCAAGTGAAGAAAGACCTACCTCAGCACAAATTTTACCAACAATAGAAATAGTCTCAACAGGGTATAACCCACGTAGGGTCTCTGCACCTAGAAGAATTGCATCACTACCTGAAACAGAGGTAAATGGTTATAGCTTGGAGTATCCAAGACCCAATAAATGGTTATAGCTTGGAGTATCCAAGACCCAATCACAATGAATAGATGAGGACACCTCAAACAAGGATTGCCAAAAGGAAAAACCTGGGCAAGGATGAAAATTAACCTAGTACATAAGTGATAAGTGAAACCCACCATCCAATACAGCATTGGCCACATCAGTTGCCTCAGCACGAGTGGGTCTTAAGTTGTCAGTCATACTATCTACAACACGTGTAACCACAGCAGGTTTCCCAGCCATATTGCACTTGTAAACAGCAGCTTTTTGAAATAGAAATACCTGGGCATTTGGAAAGACATAAAAATAGTTTCCATCAGGAATATATTCCTAGAACAAGAACATGGACAAGCATTGAAAACAAGAGAAAACACTAATTTCCATTCCTTTTCCAGTTATGATTCACTTTTTACCATCAAGACTGACAGTGCTTTTGCTTTTCAAATAATATGAAAACTAAGGGGAACTTCGAAGAGAAAATGAGCTAATATTTCTCATTACACATCAGAATTTCCAATTCATACTCCATTTGCAATTGATCGAGACAAAACATTCAAATTACAACACAAACCTTCTCAGGGGGGAGATCTATTCCCAAATTTCCACGAGAGAGGATGATGCCATCTGCTTCTTGTAGGATCTCATCAAAGTGAGTTAACCCCTGCAGGATAATGACAGTTTCAAAAAAAAAAAGTGAAAATCACATAAGACAACATATAAGGCCCCAAATAGTAGTACTTCAAGAATACGCAGGAGACAGCTCACCTCTACATTTTCAATCTTTGCAAAAATATGGGTCTGACTGAGATCACCCAGTTTAGAGAGAAATTCACGAGCCTGTGTCAAAAATGAATAATCCACATAGTTGAGAATAAGAAGTGTACACTTACTTTAAGGCCAAAATAAGTCATAGTGAGCTTGATGAATTACTATAGAACAATAATATATACAACAGGTATTGGGAAGTGACGGGAAAGGAAGACAGAGACAACTTGATGTAGAAAAAGCAAACAAACAAGAAATTCAGAAATAAAACCTTACCTGTCGAACATCTTCTGCATGCCGTGTGTATGACAGAGAAAGGAAGTCTATGTTGTTTCGCACACCCCAGGTGCTTATAACCTAGATTGAACATGAAACATTGTAAAGCAGTGCACACATGCTTTAAACATGGGAATA